GGAGTTAAAACAGTAGATCCTTTCATTTCATTGACAATAATTTCTATCAAGATAAGCAAAAAAAATCCTTTCATCTGGCTGGGGCTACATTTAAGTTTTGTATGTATTTGAAATCTACTGAGCCATCCAGACATGTTCTTTCATTATTGCTGATTTCCCCTGGACCCTGGGTGATAATTAAAGTTCTGGTTCCCTTTAACACCTGCTGGTATTTGTTAACAGCAGTTTGCCCTCTAAAATGTTTGTGCTTGGATATTTTATTCTACTTTGCAATATTTTGGGAGGAGTTTTTTTTTTTTTAAGTCTAATTGAGGAGGAAAGATGTGAAAGCAGCTTTCAGATTCTAGTTGGAAATGCATGCTATCGTTCTAATACCAGCAAAGCGTTCTTTCTCCATAGGGAACGCATTTTGTGTGGTGCCTGTAGATTGATCAAATTCATGCTTATAAATAATACAAAAAAATTGCACACATGGGTTTTTCCCCATTTTCTACAGAAATGCTTGCTTTGTGTGCAAGTAAACAGCACCTTTCTATCCTGGCTGTCACCAGCTTGGTCTTTAAGGGATTGAAAATGTGTAAATTCCTCTGGGCTGCTTCTTGCATCCTGCCAGTTGTTTCATACCTTGTCCCTTCAAGTGAGATGACTAGATTCGTGGAGATGGTCCAGACATGACAATGATGAGCCTTCATGAGCATCATCACAAGGGGAATTTAGTGTTTTATGCGTCTAGAGCACCTGATTCTCACCACTCCAAGCCTAGGGTATGCTATATCCGTGGTGCAGAGGATGCTGTCACAGAGAGGGGTAGAGAAATGCCGTGCAGAAGCACTGAGGGCATCATAATGGATCCCATGCTGCTCACCTTGGATAAAAGCTCCAAATGATCTGTTTCCATGAGTAGGATTAAATGAAACTCACCTCTGAAGTGGCGAAGAATCAGGCAGGTACCCCATGGCTCCAGCCCAACCTGGCTTCCCAGACCTAGTGACAGCCTGAGTTTCTGAAGCAAGGTAGGCTGAGGGACAGAGGAGGGGAAGAGAGAGTAAGAAGTTCTGCTTCTTCCCTACCGACAGAGAGTCATCTAAGGAAAGCAGTGCCTCTGGTCTATCCTAGAAAGCACAGGGCTGGGGAGCTTGTCTGCTGTTGCTTCCAAGCTAGGGACAGACATTACACATAAACCAGTGGAAGTGATTAGAAACTGGTTTAAACCTGTAACAGAACAGATGTTCAGTACGGCTGTGCAAAGCTTTGGTCCCTGATTCAAGTCAGCAGAGATTCGGCTCGATTCAGTGGCCGAATCTCTGAATCGAATCAGGAG